TAGTGCCGCCTTATGAAGAAGATCTGAAGGTCACTCTACAGGGGGACTGCTGAAGGACTGGTAGTTGGCATAGCCAGATCAAAGTGGGCAGCCGTGCTGGTCTGAAGCAGTAGAGCAAAGTTAGGGGCCAGTGGCACCTTTAAGACCAACAAAGTTTGAAGAAAGCTCACCCCTTGAATAAAACTTTGTTGGTCTTATAGGTGCCACTGGACTCTAACTTTCTTCTACTGGCATAGCTAGATTAGCAACTGCCCACAATTTCAGATTGTGTCCTCGCCGTCTCCTGATTGGTTCTTCTGGAGACTTCCTGCTCCAGTTAGACTGGTTAGTTTAGGCTAGTTTAGGCTTTCTCTCTGTATGTTTGTTCTTCAATAATAAACCTACTTATTTTTCTCTAAGCAGTCAGTGCTAGGCAGTCAGTACTCCACTTCCTTTGCATATTTAAACTCTGCCAACAGGACTGACCTTGCTTAGCTTCTGAGATCTGACAAGATTGGGCTTGCCTTTTGTGCCCCTCTCTTTTGTGCCCCTCTCTTTCTTCATGGATCTCATGGTGGGAAGCTGCTTTCATTTCCTCCTTGCATCAAGCCTACTAAGGAGGTTAGGCCGAGAGACAAGGTCTTGCTCAAGCCCAGCCTGAGGGCACACATCCCAACCCATGGCCAAGGCTCCCTCTAAGCGGTGGAGTCCTGTGAGCAAAAATTCTACTTTGTGAGCTACTGGCATGAAAGCGGTGAGTGAGTGATTGGGCTGCTGCGTAAATTAGTTTGCTCTGGAGCCCTCCTCCCTGAGCTAAGACAACAAATGTGTGAGCCGGAGGCTAAAAAACGGTGAGCTAGCTCACACTAACTCAGCTTAGAGGGAACACTGCCCATGGCCTCACCCTGGGTACTTCTGCAAAACTGCAAGCAGGACCAGACCCTGAGATGAGGGGTGGAGCACGAGCATCAAAGGTGAGGGGTCTAATATATGAGGGGGTGGGGCCTACAACTGGTGGGGAGGGGCCCCCCCAGCAGTGGTCTACCTGCACCTGCACCCTCCTTGACACCACAGCCTCACCATTAGATCAACAAATGGGACACAGAGGCCAAGAAGAAGAAGGAGAATAAGAGATTGGATTTAGACCCCATGGCCCTTCACTACCCAAGGGAGTCTCAGTGTGGCTGACAAACTCCCTTCCCTTCCCCTCCCCACAACAGACACCCTGTGAGGTAGGTGGGGCTGAGAGAGCTCTGGCAGAAACTGCTCTTTTTCAAGGACAGCTCTTATCAGAACTACGGCTTGCCCAAGGTCATCCAGCCAGGTGCAAGTGGAGGGTGGGGAGTCAAACCCGGCTCTCCCAGATTAGAGTCCACCCACTTAACCACGACACCAAACTGGACTTCCCCTTGTGTTGCCTCCTAGCCCTGGGCTCCAGGGCTTTGCTGCCTCTGGATGCGGAGCTTCCCTGGACTCATCTCGACTAGCACAGTGGTTGCCCCAGGTCTGGGAAACGAGGCATGGCCAGCCCCGGTTAGTCACCGGGTGGGAGACCACCAAGGAAGTCCACGGGTGTTGTGCAGAGGCAGGCCAATTGGCAAACCACCTCTGTTTGTCTCTTGCCTTGAAAACGCTACCAGATCGCCATAAATTGGCTGCGGCTGGGCGACACTTCCCACCACCGGCACAGAACTCTGGGATGGACCTCTCCTCTGTAAAGCCATTCATGCGCCTGGCCATCAGTACCTCCCCTGAGGCAGTGTGCGCCCAGGCCTTAGCCTTCTCATTCCCAACATCTTCCTCCGGTGCCCCCAAGTTCTATTGATCTGGCAGGGGGAGAAAAGTTCTTTCCACCCACTTCCTCCCTCCCAAGCATAATTGTACGACCTTTTCTCCCATCTACCCTCAGCCGTCTTTTTCCTAAAGGGAACCCTTTCCCGCACCCTGACTGCTGCGCGTTCAGCCTCCTTTGGGTGCGCTTTGCAACTGGTGCGAAACCCGCTTGGGAAACGGTGACTCAAGTGCACTGAAAGCGGATGGGAAGGGTGAGCGTGCTGGGGCAGTGAGGCGCCGGGTCCTGGGTGCTTCGAGGGTGGGAGGGCGTCTGGAGTGGGAGGGCGTCTGGAGCCCGGGCCACGCCTCCAGAGGGGTGGGCTGGGGGGGGCCACTGACTGGGCCCAGGGCCGGCTCACTCACTAGGCGAACTAGGCACTCGCCTAGAGCGTGCCGGCCCTTGGGGTGCCAAACTGGCACCCCCCCCCGCTGTCCTGGTTCAGCTGCAAACACTACTGAGTTTTAAACATGTTATGTTCTTTCTGATGATACAAACACCAATTCCACCAAAGAACTTAGCCCTCTGGGCACAGAAGGGTCACTCAGCTGAGTCAAAGAAGAACCTAAGTAGGGGGGCTATTACATAAGGACACTCAAGTTGCAA